ATCCGCCTTATTTAGCGACTCGCAGAAACAGTACTCTCAGATTGAGAAGGAGTTACTGAGTGTTTATTATGGATGCAAAAAGTTCGAATATCTATTATCAGGACACACTTTCGTTGTCCAGACGGATCACCAGCCTTTATTGCCTCTAGTCAAAAAACCGCTGAGTGATATATCTCCGCGTCTACAAAGATTAGTAATGAAGCTTATAGCATTTGACTTCAAATTGCAGTACAAACCAGGAAAATACTTGATTGTGGCTGATACCCTATCCAGGGATACTCACCCCATGGACGAACTACCAACGCCTTTTCTTGAAGACAAAAGAATGGTCAAGATGGTACGTGTTAATATATCGGACGAAAAACTGGTAGCGATGCAGAAAGATACCCGAGAGGATCCTGCTTTGGTTAAAGTAATCGATTATGTGATTGAGGGATGGCCTATATGCAAAAAAGACGTCGATGAAGATGCCAAAGTATTTTTCGATTTCAGACACCGTTTATATTTGTGGAATGATCTATTATGTATAGGATCGGCCATAGTGATTCCGAAGACACAAAGGAATAATATGCTTAATTTGTTGCACCAATCGCACCAAGGGATATCTGCAATTCAGGGTTTGGCGCGAGAATCTTTATTTTGGCCGAGAATGTCCATCGACATTGCTGAAAAAGTAAAAAATTGTGAAATTTGTCAAAAACATCAGAAATCAAAAATACGGCAGCCGTTAAAACCTTTCCCAGTTCCAGATTATCCATGGCAGACAGTATCATTGGACATATTTTATATTCAGAAAAAGCCCCATTTGTTAGTGGTCGACAGATATAGTGGCTACCCGGAGGTATTTACATTGGACCCACCTACGGCGATTAATGTAAAAAATAAATTGAGAGAAACATTTGCACGATTCGGGATTCCGGAAACCATGATGTCCGAAAATGGACCACCGTTTCGCTCAGAGATTATGACTGACTTCTGTATAAGATGGGGTATAAAACAGCTATTTTCAAGTCCACACCTTCATAGATCTAATGGTCTGGCCGAGAGAAACATTCAAACAATAAAAAATCAACTAATTAAATGTAGAGATGAAGGGTCCGACCCATATCTGGCTATTCTGGCATATAGGAATACACCAAAAAATGACCTACCGTCACCCGCACAGCTATGTTTATCGAGGAGCCTTCGATGTCAAATCCCCAGAATTACACCGCTATATAGACCGTATCAAACTAATTGAAGAAGTATAGAGAATGCCAAAAGAAAAAGACAGAGCTCAATGAAAGAGCAGTATGACAGAAATACTAAAAGCTATCCCAAGGTCAATGTAGGAGAGGATGCATGGTGTCAAATACATCCAAGGGAGACATGGACACCGGTGAAGATTTCAGCGCAGGCTGATTCTCCTCAGAGCTTTGAAGTTGTGACACCATCGGGAAATAGGTTGATAAGAAATCAACAATTTATTAGGCCAAGGGATGGAGGCAACGAAAAAAGCCAGTTGTCTTCAGAACCAATTACCGCCTCCCCAGAAGCTCAACATCCGCATTGCGACAGTCCAACGATGGGCGAGTCATCCACAGCCCCGATACAGCGGTCAAGTGAAGAGACCAATATTGACCAGAGGGAAGGCGCGACTACATCCGCTGGGATTTCACCAGAACCATCCGGAAGGCCCCGGTTTTCAAGGTTTGGAAGAGAGTTAAGAAAACCACAAAGATTTTGTTTTTAAGCAGAGGGGAGGCATGTCAACCGCCTTTTGATTTGCCTGATCTGATTGTTGATGGTTGTCTAGATTCGTGACATTCTTTAATTGTTGTAGCAGAGGGGAAACATGTTGTGATATGTAAATAACCTATGCTAAGTGTTATAATTGTTACCTATTGTTAACTATGCAAAATTATTCCATTTGTCAATTGTTTTTAAAAAAAAACTTATGTAAATTATTTCCTTTTTATCTCTATCTTGTATATAAGAAGATTGCTAGATCGAATAAACATTCAGTTCAACTTGTAAGTCTTAGCGAGTTTGTTCAGACAACTCATACACATTACAACAGTAAGGACAGTAGAAATTGTTTAATTTTTAAAAGCGCCTATAATAGTTTCGTATTTTCATAATGTTGTTAATTTTCGATTGAAGAGTTGGAGCATTTCGATATAAAATATATTTATTGGCTTATATACTTAGCACAACATTATAAAAGTAAGAAATGATTAAATGCAAAAGATTATATATCTAAATACAAAAGGTAATTTAAAAATTAAAGATCATCCTTTGTTCTTCAAGTCAAAACATTCTTCTTTGTTCTTCATGATTTTTATTGATGTTCCTTTTTTTACAGACAATATACCTTCACATAACAGATGGCGCGCTAATGCATTATAATATAACTGAAATATCCTTTAAAAAGTAAGGACGTTTTAAAAAACCAAAATAAAAAAGTCTCAATATGAGATGTAACTATAAGATTGTCCCAAAAGTTCGTAAACACCTGCACCTAATACCAAATTTCTTAAAACGTTGTTTTTCTTATTACTTGGAAAATAATATTATTACAGCTAATCTATATATATAATTACCTTATTCTGTCTGAAGCTCACGGATAGAATGCGCGCCCATTGGCTGCCGGCGAACACGTGTCCTCCCTGCCCCCCTCTAGACAACCCTGTTATCAGCTGTGTGATACATACACCTGTCTATAGCGGCCATTCTAGACAACCCTGTTATCAGCAGTGTGTTACATCCACCTGTCTATACAGACCACCCTGTCTATAGCGACCACTGACCACCCTGCCTATAGCGACCACTCTAGACAACCCTGTTATCAGCTGTGTGATACATCCACCTGTCTTTACAGACCACCCTGTATATAGCGGCCATTCTAGATAACCCTGTTATCAGCTGTGTGATACATACACCTGTCTATAGCGGCCATTCTAGACAACCCTGTTATCAGCAGTGTGTTACATCCACCTGTCTATACAGACCACCCTGTCTATAGCGACCACTGACCACCCTGCCTATAGCGACCACTCTAGACAACCCTGTTATCAGCTGTGTGATACATCCACCTGTCTTTACAGACCACCCTGTATATAGCGGCCATTCTAGATAACCCTGCTATCAGCTGTGTGATACATACACCTGTCTATAGCGGCCACTCTAGACAACCCTGTTATCAGCTGTGTGATACATCCACCTGTCTATACAGGCCACCCTGTCTATAGCGGTCACTTTAGGCAACCCTGTTATCATCAGTGTGTTACATTCACCTGTCTATACAGACCACCCTGTCTATAGCGGTCACTTTAGGCAACCCTGTTATCAGCAGTGTGATACATTCACCTGTCTATACAGACCACCCTGTCTATAGCGGCCACTCTAGACAACCCTGTTATCAGCTGTGTGATACATACACCTGTCTATACAGACCACCCTGTCTATAGCGACCACCCAAGACAACGTTTTTAAAATATATTCGCACTCGGGTAAAACCCGGGCGTTGCCCGGGCCATTCGTCTAGTACATAATAAATTACTTTATACATAATACAAAGACATTATACATAAAGGCGAATATTATTATGGCGAATACATAATAATACATAATACAAAGAAATTATACATACGGCGAATAATATTATTATGGCAAATATTATTGATATTTCAATTTTTTGCAAGTGTTTACGAACTTTTGGGACAACCTTGTAGCTTATTTCTGTAAAAAAAATAGACACTTCGGCCAGTTAGAGTTTTATTTTCTTAACGTGTCAAAAAAAAAAAAATCTTTTGTCTTCCTCAGGAGAAATAAATAAAAAGAAGAACAATTTTTTAACGCCTTGCCAAATGCTCTATTTATTTCTCCTGACGAAGACAAAAGATTTTTGTTGAAACTTTGAGAAAATAAAAAACTCTAACTGGATGAAGTGACTATTTTTTACAGAAATATAAATGACGGCCAGGCAACCTTTATCTTGAAGATAATCTCGTAGCTATAATGCATGTTTGACATGGCGTTGAATCAATCAAATGATCCATTGATGAGATCGATATCGGTTTTTCTTTTCATTGGAAAATGGGTGCCGTTGCCACGTTAGTCACCTTGGAAACGAATCAGAATTTGGTCGAATATTCCAAGGGTCCAGGGGGGACTGGTGTGGTCGTACTTATCTCCCCCCCCACCTACTCACATATTCTCATGCCCAGCAATGGCCACAGCCTTGCAGAAAATTGACATGGATCCAGAACAGCAGCTTTATACACCCAAAATAGAGGACATTGCTGTGATAGAGATGTATGGAGACATCTGAGGCTTATATCTGAGATTTAATATTTACTTTACTCAAAATCGGCCTTCCGTTAATATTAATCTTTATAAATAGTTTTAAAACTTTATTTTTATATATAAATATATACCATTTGTACCATAATACTTATAAGTCGCGCTTCATTGTTCGCCTGTTGAAGGGTTTTTACCCGAAAGCTTGCACCTATGCATCAATAAAATAAACTCGTCTTCCTTCACCATGTTTTTCGTCTAACATCTGAGGCTCTTCATTGGACACGACAACAGCAACAGAAAATTGACATGGACCCAGAACAGCAGCTTTACACATCCAAGATAGTGGACATTGCTGTGATAGAGATGTATGGAAACATCTGAGGCTCTTCATTGGACACGACAACAACAACATGAGGTCGATAATGAATATCCAGAAAATTCTTGGTGTGTCAGGGGATGTTGTTGACGAACCTAAGACATCCCATAATTGTTTATTTGAATTGTGGTTGGGGGGAAGGAAATGCTGGCTACACCATTCGTCTGATACCTCGACCAAATATTTACTTCTTCACCAAATGTTCTCAATATTGCCACGTGGAAAATTAGGGAACTTCGGGATGAGACAACAATTAATTTCAGGCAACGTAAAAAACGTAAATATCTTTATTTACGGGGCTGCTAACCAAAATAAAATGATTTTTGTGCCCCCAAAAAAGTTCCCATGCCGGGAATCGAACCCGGGCCTTCTGGGGGAAAGCCAGATATCCTAGCCAACTAGACCACGTGGAAGAAAAGATGTTTCTGCCAGGAAAATGATAGCAGAACGTGGTTACAATCGAAAATAATTTCAGGCAAGAACAAACTATGAGTGATAAGCAAAAGAGGGAAGTGTACAGGGAAAAGCAAAATATAAACATAAAAAATAATACTCTGTTAATAAAATAATAAATACTTTGTTACAATATAGTCGAACATTAAACAATCCCACAGGTTTCTGGAGGTGAGTTTCATTTTATTAAAGTTGTCTCAAGCTTTTGGGTATCTCTGTCCTTCTACAGGAGTACATAAATAAATGAATAAAATGCCACCAGATGCTAAACTGTTACAAAAATCTATGTACATGTGCATTTAATATAATATTTTATTTGGAATTATATTTCATAGATACAAATATTCTGTTAAATCGACCGCCAGAGGTCACGCTTTGCATATAAAAACTCGTTGTTGTTTTTCCCCCGTTGGCCGGCTCAAAACTTTTGTACATTATGTAAATAATCTTTTGTTTTCCTTATTCTACTCGCCTTAAGCCAGGCATTACTTTTATCAAATTATGTCTTTTTATATATTCGTTTAACTCAATTAAATTACTGATCAAAAGTATTTTTTATTATCATACTTTAAAGATTTCTACCACGACTCTATTACATTACCATAATACTCAACATGATCTAAATACAACAGAAAATCTCATTTCTATTCATTTTGATAACATACATATAGTAATGTAATTGTTGTATCTTGTTGGATGACTGTAGTGTGGCATGTTGGTTGCAGTCGTGGTGGCTTCAATGATTAGAGTGGGTTCAGGCGTGATTGGGATCACACAAAAGGACATGTTAGATGTCACCACAGAGATGGCGAGAGAGTAAGTGAAGCCGACACCGGTCAAGGTAGATCTGTAGAGAGGGGTCTGTCAATCATCGTGTCTCAAAGCGGACTGATATGTTTGAGTAAGAAGGGGGCACATCTGGTACCCCGACATGTTTTTCGTACCTATTTCCTCCACTGGCGTCGACTGTAACTCACTCGAAATTTTATTTATGTCAACTTGGCAATTACATTAAAACCATACAACACATGGCGATATAGGATATATATTGGAATATATTACAACATATATATATAATAATAAATAGTTATTTAATTTTATAGTCCAGTTTTGTATTAAGATTATCTTCACTATTATGATCATTTAAATTCAAATTATAAAATTTGTAAAATGTTATTAATTTGTAGATAGAGAGAGAAAAAAAAATTCTTTACTTCTAATACATCCTCAAGTTAATTATATATTTATAATTAATAACAATAAAAATTAACAACGTAACGTCTATTACATCGGCTTTTACACGTCATTTAGACATACTCTAATCCTATATATAGAATAATCGAAGAGAGAATATATATAATAGTTAGAAAAAAGAGAGAAAGACAGAACCATGCACTTTTAATCAAACTAATAATAAGGAAAAAAAAAAAATTGTAAAGAAGGTAGATAAGATTGTTAGTATATATATATATATATTTTTATGATTTTATATTTTATCTTTTTTTTTTTAAAGATTTTTAAAGGTTTTTTTATTTTATAATATGATTATAAATAGTTGTATTTAGTAATATATCTATAGTATGAATTAACATTTGTTATAAGTTTGGATATTATGTTTTGAAACCCTAATGGTAGACCAGACATACACAAAAAACTTTAAATTGAAATAAATTGGAAAAAGAGATCTGCTGGACCGGGGATCTTCTGATAAAAGTCCAACGACATTTCACCCCTTCTTTATAGGGGTGAAATGTCGTTGGACTTTTATCTGAAGATCCCCGGTCCAGCAGATCTCTTTTTCCAATTTATTTCAATTTAAAGTTTTTTGTGTATGTCTGGTCTACCATTAGGGTTTCAAAACATAATATCCAAACTTATAACAAATGTTAATTCATACTATAGATATATTACTAAATACAACTATTTATAATCATATTATAAAATAAAAAACCTTTAAAAATCTTTAAAAAAAAAAAAAGATAAAATATAAAATCATAAAAATATATATATATATATACTAACAATCTTATCTACCTTCTTTACAAAATTTTTTTTTTTCCTTATTATTAGTTTGATTAAAAGTGCATGGTTCTGTCTTTCTCTCTTTTTTCTAACTATTATATATATTCTCTCTTCGATTATTCTATATATAGGATTAGAGTATGTCTAAATGACGTGTAAAAGCCGATGTAATAGACGTTACGTTGTTAATTTTTATTGTTATTAATTATAAATATATAATTAACTTGAGGATGTATTAGAAGTAAAGAATTTTTTTTCTCTCTCTATCTACAAATTAATAACATTTTACAAATTTTATAATTTGAATTTAAATGATCATAATAGTGAAGATAATCTTAATACAAAACTGGACTATAAAATTAAATAACTATTTATTATTATAATTAATTTAGATTTAGCTTGCTAATCTAATCAAATCTAATTGATATAAGTTATCATTATTATCAGTTTGCTCCTTAAGTTTTAAAATTAGAATCACTGTTATAATTTTGTTATATAGTTTCTACACTATATATATATATATATAATAAAAGGATTTAAAAGCGCGAATGTTTCTTTTATACATAAAACGAACTTCTACTGTCCTTACTGCGAATAAATCTCAGTAAGGACAGTAGAAGTTCGTTTTATGTATAAAAGAAGCATTCGCGCTTTTAAATCATTTTATTTTATATGTATAGATGGCGCGTTATTGCTTTGTGTTAATATATATATATATATATATATATATATATATATATATACTAGCGAACCCGGCCACGCGTTGCTGTGGCTAAATTGTAATATGTTAAATTAACATTATACTAAACTATTCAGTACAGTAAAGTTAATATTCACTTATAAAGATAAAAATGTTTTAGCCGATCAAAAGCCCTACAGGATTGAGAAATGGAACGTTACGTTAAAATTTGAAAGTGATTTTTATATATATAGATAATATAGCCCTTCATTGTAATCATTGATTATAATCACTGCATTAATAAATGTCAGTGAACTCGTTTATATGTATTGTTTTTTGTTTTCGAGATATTCTAATAGAACGTTCTCACATTTTCTGTAAAATATTTATATATGCACAAACACAGAATATAATCACTATGTCTTAATTTCGCTATAATTATTGTTATAAATATTATTCCAAAATAATTCGCCAGAAATCGTCCTGATAGTATACTAAACAACTTCCCAAAGTTTCATGGCAAACATCTAAAACAATATAATACTTTTAATACTTTGCTACAATATTAAAAAGAGGGGGGCTTAGGTGTTTAAAATGTAAAATGTGCTCTAAATAGTATTACATAGAGCCTTCATAACAAACATATTTAAAATAAACCAATCAAAATATAATAATGCTGTAAAAAACAGACCTCGCTACAATAATATAAAAGAAATGAAAATAAAAAAAGACACCCACGCTGAGCCTCGAACCTAGGTTTGTTACAAATATTATTAAAAAATTGTTTATGTTAATTTTTATTTTAAAAAGCCTACATTTTAAATAAAATAATATTTTTAATAATTTGCTACAATAATATAAAATAAATGAAAAATAAGAAAAACACCCACGCTGAGCCTCGAACCTAGGTTGCGGGGGTACGAAGCTGTGTACCTAACCTATAGGCTAAGCTTGACGTTACAAATAAGCTCATGCGAGGCTATTTCAGGTCATACGTCTTCCGCGAGGGGGCGCTGATAGCGAGTGAATTTACGTTTTATTGTAAATAAAAATGCAACGAAAGGTTATTTCTAAAGAGTAATTAGCCAGAAACCATCCCGGTAGTATACTAAACATCTTCCCAAAGTTTCATCACGATTGGTTGAGCGATGTAGAAGATTATTGTTTTAATGTCCATCTATAGAGTTCAAAACAACAACTGACCCACCCGTGGAGGCAAGGTCACGCTCCGCTGCGTCACGTGGGAAAACATAGGTACATGTTTTCTTACATGTTCTCAGCACATCCCCCTTTTTAAGACTTGAAATATATATATACATTACAAACTTTAAATGCATAATATAATTAATAATGAAGGCGATCCACAGGTTTAACAATTCGTCCACTCCGGGTTCTTATCTGGCCGTCTTCTGAGTCGTTAGAGGGATAATCCACAACTGGGGTCTTTTCATTTTCAACCAGTTCCTCCCCCGAAAAGGTCGGCGTCGATGGGTCGGCTGGATATTGCACTGCATATCCTTTTCGTAGATGGAACCTGTTTCGACGTAAAGTCCCAACTGGAGTATCAACCATATACGACCTTGGTGTCGATGCTTTCTTCTTTACAATCCCCCAGGTTCGCATATCTGTAATCCAAACCGTGTCACCTTCGGATAGCTCCTCCATGTCCGTAGCTCCGCAGCGTCGATCATATCTGGATTTCATATCCTTTCTCCTTCTCCCCTCCTTTCTTTTCAGGGTCTGAGAGTCCACCAACCTTGGATTAAGATTCTCTGGTGCAATTGGCAAGGTCGTTCTGAGTTTACGTCCCAGATGGTTCACCATGCCAAGAAATCTTCTTACGCCATGAACATCTGTCGGAGCAGGCATCCTCGCCACCGCTTCGATTTTCGCTGGATCTGGTCGAATACCGTCTTCATCCAGTATGTGCCCAAGAAAATTAATTCTTGGCACGCCGAAGACACACTTGGCCTTGTTTAGTGTAACTTTCGCCTCTTTCAGTTTTCGGAGCACTAAACGAAGAATTCGATCGTGAGTCTTGGAGTCGGAGGCAAATATCAGGATATCGTCCAGGTAACACATTACACCGTCCATGCCTTGCAAGATTATTGACATAACTCTCTGAAAATACTCTGGGGCGAGTGAGATTCCAAATGGCATTCTGCAGTATTTATATCTCCCAAAAGGAGTGATGAAGGTCGTTAAATGCTGGCAGTCCGGGCTCAACGGAATCTGGTGAAAGCCACTGTTCGCGTCCAG